TTTGTGAGAGAGAGAGAGAGAACAACGAGCAGGGGAAGAAGAGCAGAGAGAGAGGGAGACACAGAATCCGAAGCAGCTCCAGGCTCCGAGCTGTCAGCACAGAGCCCGACGCGGGGCTCGAACCCACGAACCTCGAGGTCATGACCTGAACTGAGGTTGGACGTTCAGCTGACTGAGCCCCCCAGCCAGGCGCCCCCTTTGATTTCTTTTTAAAGAGATGCCAAGATCGCGTCTAGTGAGCACATGAGGGTTGGAGGCACCGAGGACATGGCCTGGCTGCAGATCTGTGAGCCCACGGAGAAAGATAAAGGAAAATACACTTTTGAGATTTACGACGGCAAAGATAACCATCATCGCTCCCTCGACCTGTCCGGCCAGGGTAAGATCACATTCCTTAGCACCCCCTAACTTCGGATTCGGCGATCCACAGAGAATGCTGGGAGAGGAAGCGCTCGGGTTCATGATTTTCATTCGGAGAAGATTCTCTCCGAATAATCAGTTTAGTCTTTGGCTCTTTGTCGGTTTTTATTAAGCCAATACATTGGCAACGAAACCATTAAAATGTTTGAAATGTTTCCTTCCAGCGTTCGATGAGGCCTTTGCAGAATTCCAGCAGCTCAAGTAAGATTTGTGTGTGTGCGTGGCGGTCTGTCTGTCCCTGGGGCCACCGACCTCGTGGGCGTGTGGGTGGCCGCTGGGCGCCCTGTCCAGGGAACTGACCTAAAAGTGGTGTTGAAGCGTCCAGTGTGGGGAGGGCAGGCATGCCCCTGAGCCGTGCGTGTGTTTATAAAGTAACTTTCTAGAGTCCCCATAACCCTGGGTTGCTTCAGTGATTATAATGATGGATTTCTCCAATAGTTATAATTACGGTAATGTGGCACAGAGCAATTTTTTAATGTTAGGTATTTAGGTTCTTTTTAAAGACCTTGTTTTTCTAGAGCCATTTAATCACAGCACCATGGGGAAGAAGGTGCAGAGTTTTCCCCGGTCCCCGAAACCCAGCCCCCCCCATCAGCATCCCCTCTGGGTGCTGCATCCGTTGCCGTCGATGAGGCCGCACGGACACATCATCCCCACGCAGAGTCCGCCGTGCACATCACGGTTCCCTCTAAGTGGCTGTGGGTCTGGACAAATGTATGGTGGCACCTGCCCACGACTAGAGTATCGTACAGAGAATTCTCAATGCCTCCCACATCCTCTGTGTCCCTCGTTGTGGACCCCTGGTCACTGTCCCCTGTCTCCACGGTTTTGCTGTCTCCGCAAGGTCACGGGGCTGAATCATGGACGTGTGGGCTTTTCAGGCCGGCTTCTTTCACTTAGTGAATCTGTACTCAGGGCTGCTCTGTGTCTTCTCATGGCTCAAAGCCTCCTTTATGTTTAGAGCTGGATAATATCACCTTGTTCAGAGCAACTTTTTAAAGAATCACTTGAGATTTTAAGTGTGTCTCTGAATTTGGGAGTACCCAGAACGGACAGCGGTCACCGGCCATGCTAGGCTAGTCAGGAAACGTTGGCTGAACGAATGAACAGACGGCTGAGATAAGTCCGAGACCAGGGTTTTCAAAGCTATCTAAAACTCTCCAGTGCCATCTGGTGAATTTGGTGAAGAAAGAAATCTCTCCAGCCTACGAGCCTGAATGCCGACCTTTCCCGTGGGTTTCACCTGCTGAGAGACAGGGAATCCCGCCGGGCCCCCCCAAGAGGGGGGAGAGGGCAGGAGAAATGCACACAGTTTACGGTTCCTTGGGCCCTGTGCCCTGCTGTCCTTCCAAGGGGAGAACACACTGCTTGTTCCTCTCGCCCCCTGCCCGGCGAAGCCCTGAGATGTGTGGTGCTTGTCGTGCAGAGCCTTTTCTCCTGACTGACTTCCTGTTCTCTCCACCCCTTTAATTCCTAGGGCAGCCGCTTTTGCAGAGAAGAGTGAGTATATGTTATGTGGTATCGGGCACCCTTTATTATCTGGGGAGGGCCGGCGGGTCCCACGGTAGAGTTTTAATGCCGTGTATTCACTGATAGACAGCAGACCTGCTCCGTGGGCGGGGAACCTTCCAGAACTCCTGGCACCTGCCCTCCTGATCCTGGCACTCCCCGGGCCCCCGCCCAGCCCACCTCCCCTTGTCAGCTCCTTGTCATTCGTGTGGCCTCCGCCTCCCTTCCGCCCTCCACCCGCCCGCCCCCTGGTCTTCTACGACATGTCAGGCAGGTGCAGCCACAGGTGGAGGAGGCAGAGGGGAGGCTCAGGGGGTCAGAGTCCATCACACTCGCA